AAACACAATTATTTCGTGCAACAGACTAGTAATTGATTTTGATTATGGTTTAATCCGTCAGGCTAAATAATTTAGGCTTGTGTTTTTGAATAGCGGAGGTGACCAATCGAAAGCAAGGACAACACTATGGGGTTTCTAGTAGGATGAACCATTCCCAAAGCGAATGCAGGCGTTGCACAAACAATGTGGTCTGACAAAATGATTTAACTGTTTTTGTAGTGTCCAAAACTTTCGGTCATGTTATGAACGTGGATGCGATCAGCAAGGAACTCACCCATAGTGTGGTCGATTCTCGTTTATGCAGTGAGTCCCGTCCTCGTACGGCGCCCACGGAGCTGGTGCATACGGAGGTGGGTGAGAGCCGTGTTATAACAACTACACGGTGCTCGGTAACACGTGCAGGGTTTGCGCTCTGTCTCCCCCAATAGTGATGGATTGCATAACATAAACGCATAAACCAATAATTTGATATCTGTGCATTATTATCATCTGTGCATTTTTAAAAAAGGGAACCATGTTAATTATAGTCAACTAAAAACATTTTCGTTACTTGAAATAAACGTTAACTGAAATAAAATATAAATTAAAAAAAATATTTGATCTAACCTAAAGTTGCTAAGACATTCATTTTAACTTGAAGTACTAAAATATCTAAAAACTGAAATACAAAACAACAATTATAATAAAAAAGTTAAACTTTTTTTTTTAAATGACAAAAACAAAATAGCTAAAACTTAAAATATAAAAATAAAAACTATAATCGTATCTCTATATGATACTTAAATGAAACTGAAGGGAACTAAAAACAAAGCTTTCTGGAATAATTTTTCCTAACCTCTAAAAGTGTTCAAATTCCTTTAGAATAAAATTGAGATTTTACAGAAAAAAAAAACATTAAATATTCATGGAAAACATATTTTTAAAATAGCTTTTATTACACTGTCACTGTACTAAAAAAAAAAAAAGCTAATTGAGTAAAACAATTCACTGTTCAGCTATTTAAAGGGACAGTTCACCGAAAAATGAAAATTGTCATTATTTACTCACCCTCATGTCATTTAAACCCGACTTTTGTTTATTTTGTGAAAATATCAAGATATGCCAATTGTTTACCATGCAATAATAGTCAATGTTGTCTGGACCCCAACATTCTTCAAAATATCTTTATCTAATCATTTGTGCTCCACAGAAAAATGTCATATTGGTTTGGAACAACATGATGGTGAATAAATGCCATTTACTCATACTCATGGACATAAACACTCATCAACCAATTTTTGTCTTAATTTTTTTATTCAAAATCATTAATAGTAATATTAAGAGTACATAAGTGTGAAAAAACAGATGAATTTCGGGCATCTTTAGTCTGTTACATCACAAATTGACATAACAGAGCCCAGTTTTTTTACTTGAAAAAAATAACCTTCCTTATCATCACCAGGAATACAATAGTCATCAATGGTGTCAGCACAGAACATGGCATGATGGTCTGCTCCGTGTGCTGCCTACCCTGCAAACAACCTTGCTTAAATCTGGCTTAAGGCAGTTCATCAACTGACTTTTAATAAGACCCCTGGGAATTTTGGGAGTAACTAACACACTGACATTCATACGCTCATATTCGGTTATTCAACACATACACACACACATACATCCAACCATATGTAACAGAATCCTCTATGCAGAGGTGCTTTATTGTTTTTATAAAGTGTGCATCCTGAGAGGTTCAGCCCTGCGAATATATGGGCCGGCGATTGTCTCCAGAGTCTGAGCTCTTCTCTGGCCATAGTATACACAGATACACACATGCAAAAGCACAAGATCAGCCTAGAACATGCACCGAATGAAACAGTCATTTCTGACAGTATGGTTAGATTGTGATGCCCCTAAAACTTCAAGCCAGGCTGAGTGTGCACGTTCTGCGCATGTGGGAACACAAGTGTGCGTGTGTTTATTTCTCTTGTGAGCACCACTAAATCTGAAGGTGTAAGGCCAGAGAGGCATATGGAGTCTAACATCACTCTTATGACCATATCAAACTATTCATATTTTGAGTTCATGATGGGTGTCATAATCCTCTCACTTCTCTGGATTGGCTCGAAAATCCACTTGAGTTACTGGGAAACTAGCCCACCTCAAAGTCCACACTCTTATCTTTCCTACGAAAACGTTTTGTAGTTTCAGATCTCTCCCCTTCTTAAATCGCATTCACTCGCAAACAAAAAATAAATCTTTCTTTTGTGGAGTTTCAAAACCAGTCAGACAGTTTAGGGAATCCCAAAAGATACCCATCCCACCCAATCCCAAATCATCCTATTAGAATCGAGATCGTCCCCATCTCTCACTCTCAGTGGAGGATGTGCTCCAAGTAATGGGGGTGAGGGTTTTCTTTGACGTATTTCTGGATGTACCAGCATGTTAAATGGGCTTTCAGGTCCTCCTCCACCACAAAGTCCATTGCAGCCTAGCAAAAACAACCACAAACTATATTTTAATGCACAACAACAGACAATGTAATATCATCATGTATAAACCAGTTCACACTGTTCTTGAGTAACCTTCTACAACCTTGGCTAGGTGTTTGGCGATCTCTCGTCCTCGGTAAGCTTCAGGAACCTCAGTGTGCTGCAGATCCACTGTCTTCTTCCCCACATATTCATACAGCAGAACAGCCCTGTCATGGGAACCTTCAATATAGATGCAAATATATTAGTCCGCGTACAGTAAACAAAGTTATTCGTGACTGTGAAGAACTGCTCAGTCAAACAGGATGCATGTCTATGCTTTGTTTTTTGTTTTCGCCGTCGTAAACGAGCGCTTTACGGGGAAATAGTCGCATACAAACGCTTTTTTTCATGTAAAACCCCGCAAGAAATAAACGCAAGTCTGTCCCTGTTCCTCTGCTGTTGCTGGTTTTCTACTGAAAGACAGAATTGTAACGACATGGATTTGCTTTGTACCGATAGAAAGATGATAGAACAGGAAATAGCCTAAAACAAAGTCTGCATGGGATGGCTAGCGGGTAAGCTAGCAACTTAGTAACTGATTCAGTCAGAGAAGAAAACAAAGCTTGCGTTAGAGCAAATTCACGAACTGTGGCTAGTGACAGGCGAGAATTACTGCGGCTCCGCACGTCAAAACAAAACAACTAAAATTGCAGCATTCATCGGACGAATCCGATTCATTAAACGCTTGTCAAAAAGCTACTACAACCCAGAAAGATAAAAAAGAAAAAAAAAAAAAAAATTTTTCTAACAACCCAAAAAAAAAAAAAAAAAAAAAAAAGCTGATGCTGGGGGAAAAAATGGTTCCATTCGTTCCAACAAAACAACTAATGTCATATTCAATTAACTACTGGGAACTACAAAGCATGTAACGATATTTAGGTAATGCGTACTATATAACTAAGATGGGTTTTATTAGATAACGCGTTTACCATGTTGAGAAGCGAAATATAATAAACAAAAGGCAGATTTTGCAGGCGAGCGCACGGTGGCTTTTCCTCCTCCCCCCGCGACCACCATCTCGTTATATCTGACGCATTACTGACCGTTCAGTCGGATGTTGAATTGTCGTCTTTTCTTGTCGTGCTCCACTCGGAGAGGAGTGTTGATATCGAGGACGTTCATCTGTGCAGCCTGGGCCATAACGACTGCGGGTCTGCTGTCAGGGGGGGAAGCTGTGTGTCAGTGTGCCACGGCTGATTCGACTACGATGAGAGGCGCATTCATGACTCGCCGAGGTGAGGACGAACATCTGATCCTGCGAAAACACGCCATCCACGGAAATCAGCTGTGAAGTCACGTGCTCGCCGCTGACCAATGAGGACGGACGCATTGTTTTGATGCGCGCGGTCTCTTTGAAAAGAGCTTGCAATGCGGCCGCCAGGTGGAGATAAATGTTTGCTGTTCAGTTTTTTTTATGAGCGATATTTTACGAAGGCATGTTGGGTATTTATTTCATGAACTAGTAGAATATATTGCAAAGGTATTTTAGAGAAAAAAATAAAAGCTTGTTTTCTCTGTTCTTGTGTACTCCCTAACCAAAATCAAAATAATATAATTTATGGTGATGTATTAATTTATGGTGATGTATTAAGTTAATTCATTTTTTGTAAACTCTAATTTCTCTAGTTTTGATATAAATGCTAATTTAAAATGAAATAATCGATTATTTTAATCAATATATATACATTATTATTATTATTATTGCCAGGTGAAGTTAATTTGGGAGGGGGAGGTCACTTTAAGAGTAATTATTCTTATTATTATTAATAATACTTTTTAATTTGCATAGAGATTGATTAAATTAAAAAGGTGATCATCTCCCTCATTTCTGAATGTAAACATTTTGCTGAATTCTGGAATAATTAATAGTCCAGTTTTTATCTAATTTGTTTTCTTTATAGCGGTTAAAGCTATATTTGCCAAAGTTTTCTGTTTGTCAGTTAGTCAGATTCCAATTATACAAAATGACATGTACTGTGAAAAGTGCTACACAAGTCAACATGACGTAAGTTGATTCTGGAGTTTAATCTCATTGTGTCTATAGATATCCTGAAAACCATGTAAGACACATGACAGGTGCTGGGGTGAGGGGTCAAAACCTGCTCGGACACAGAGTTGAGTAAATGGCTTTATATCCATGCTGGTGAGGTTCAGAGATCTCAGATCCATAGTCTCACATCCAAAGCTCACAGACTTTGCATAACAGAAAGGAACAAACACACAACCAAACACAAATACTTAAAATCACAGGTTAAATAATGCAGCACATCCTTTCAACAGAGGATGGGTTCAAGTTTACTAATAAAAGCCATAGCATATAATACATACAATATTTCGATTGCAAATACTAACCATTGGAAGTTATTTCTGATTAATAAGACAATCATTTTAGTGAATCACTTTAGAATTTTTCACATAAATCACCTATAGCACCTCTCAGATTTGCATCTTTAAAACTATAAAAGAATAATATAAGATATTTGGATTTGTGTGTGAATGACTGTACAATACAGAAATTGGTCCTAATCATGATAATAATAAAAATAATAATAATAATGACAATAATAATGCATTTAGGGATAGACTATACTGGCCAGTGTTAGTGTTAATGCAATCAGATTTAAAAAAGTCTAAGATTCTCAATCATACACACTAACACATACACAATATGTATTAATTGTCGTATGGATGTGTCTGTGTATTTGAATGTAAGTTTATAGCGGGTTCATTTGAACTGCACCAACAACACATCTTAATAAAAGACCCTTAACAGCCTGGCAGTTTCAGCCAACAGAACCAAGTTGATACATAAATGGCAAAACCAAAAGAGTTTGGAATGTACTCAAGAAAGCTCTATACATTTTTAGGGCCTCATTTAGGTATATGTATATATTTAGGGCCTCTCTAATATCTTCCTCAGGGTGTTGATGACATCCTCTCCACTGTTCCAGGGCACCACACTGGCCTTGAACTCTCCAGGTTTGGCTTCCTCCATCTCTTGGATCAGTTTGTGCATTGGAAAGTCCCGGCGAGGGAATGCTATATCACCCGGTGACAGTGTGAGTGACGGGCAAAAGTCATTGGCCCCATCGCCCACGTACAAAACCTTCTGGTACGGTCGTCCACTCCTCTCTCGCACGCGCTGGGCCACGTACTGCCTCACCACCACTGCCTTGCACATGTTCGCCGGGCATCGCAAGCACTCATGGGAGTGGAAAGGGCGAAGCTGCAGCTGCCCATTATCATCAAAGTGAGCTGGGTTGGTGAAAATGCGCAGAAAGAGTGGGCGGAAGCCAAGGTGCTGCAGCCACGTCTCAATGAAGACGGTATTAGCGTCTGACACACAAACGACTTCAAAGTCCCTTGATGGCTGGGAGAGTAGGAAATGCATCAAAGTGGGGATGCCTGGGCAGGGAGGGAGTTTCTCCACTGTGCCTCGAATAGCTGCCGGTGTGACGCCCTTTTCGGCGAGGTAGGCCAGCACACGCTGCATGTACTCATTGTAGTGGCCGGAACGGTAGGTGTCCTTCAACCAGCCAGGCAGGACTCCACCAGGCGCCACAGTAACCATAGAGTCGTCGCTGCACTCGTCCACCAGGGTCTCATCAAAGTCAAAGAATATAAGGAAGCGCCTGTCGTTAGTTGGCGGAGCTTGAGCTCTGCTTCTGTGTTGTTGGTGCTCCTCCACTGCTCTAGGAGGATGGGGTGGGGAAACGCAGCAGTTGAAGACAGAGTCCCGCATCATGGATAGGAGGGAAGAACAGCACAGATGTCTTTTTCTTCTCTGACTTCTGCTCTTTTTGCTCCGCCACTGCAAATGAAAAGAGCAATCCAGTTATGCCAGAACTTTAAGCAGACAAAAGACAAAAAAGAAGAAAAACCCAGCTGTGAAATAAAACTTTAGCCCTAATATTGAACAATATTGAATATTTACAAAGTCTTATAAAATCAATTCATTGCAGAGTCTCCTGCATGCTCCTTCCATTAAAAAAAAAAAAAGAAAAAAAAAAAGTTTTTCCACCAGATACAGATACAAGGTCAAATATTTATTTTAAATATTGACAAATCTGGCATTCACTTGAATGAATAAATTAACTGAGACTACATTGTGGTTTTAAACCAATTTTCTATTTATGCAATTTTCTTTTGAACTGTCACAAAAATTGACAGTTTACAGTGTTACGATATGAATATGTATTTAATATGTAGTAATATTTTTATTTAAAAGATACCTTATATCTGTGATAAGAGCATTCTAATTATCATCTCTTGATTCATTCACTTGGAAATGTCGCCGTCTTGAATACTGATGTTAGGTTATGGGAATTGTTATGTCTCATGCCAAGCACTCCTTGTTGCAGGAGTTTTTAACTTCTGTATCTATACTTATGATGATGCAACTCACCTCTTTTCACCTTAAACTCGCCGCTGCGCAGTGTTAACCTATAACATAAGAATACAGAGAAATTTACATTTACCAAACTATAGCCTATACTCACTCAGAAATGTTTCCATCAAGGTAGAACGGTCTCGTTGGCAGTGAACGTCCACAAAATGTAGCCTACTGTTAAACGATATAGCCGACTGTAACAGAGATGACAGCGTGATTATTTATGTCTCGCTCTAATGGCTTATAATCAAAAGCAGTTACGCAGCATGTTTCAATGACCTTGGTTTCACTTTACATTCATTACAGCAGATGATGCAACAGAAGCACCTGATTTTCGTGCGTTTCAATACTACGTTTCAATTCAAGGTATTGTTTTAAAGTTAAGCAAATAATTAAATTGCAAATTAATTTAAACTATGTGTAAAAAAATAGTATGCAATTTGTAAGGTAATGACACCATAAAGCCCACAGCATATAAACAGACAAACAGGACAGAACATAATGGAATAATTGTCAAGTAAAACAACAGCAGACTACCTTGAGCCGGACGTCCAGTTTAGATGTTCATCACTACCGATCGCTGCTTTCTGCGTCTGCCCGGCTTCTCAAAAGTGCTGGAGATTTATGGTCCGATCCTGCTTCACGGAACCACAGTGACGCGCATCGGACGGGTCCCGCCTCTCATCCATCACTGGATCCAAACCCACTGAGAACCTCAGCGATGCGCTACTCTACATATCATTAACAGCTATGGAATCCGACTCAGAGCTTTTACAAAAAAAACGCTAAAGAACACTATTCATTTAATAAAGGTAAACAAATCGGTCAAAACTGGACTTGTTGAAATGCCGAAATGTAGCCTGCCTTTTTGTAAATTTTATTGTACATTCAGCACTTCCATATGAGTGTCAGAATGGGATGACCTGGTTAGGAATTTTAAATGGATTTTAATGTGGGTATAATTTAATCTAAGGTGAGTGCAGTTTGGACGCAGGGTCACTACTGTAAAAGAACATCCCGTACTTTAGTTCCTCCTGTAGAGAAATGCTAATGACAGCCTGTTAAAAGAAAGGCTATTTTGGGGAGGAATGGAAAAGGGAACTGGTTTGTCATTATCACCATTCCTACAAAGTCTTGATACTTGATGGCATTTATGTCAGTCTATATAGACTACTCTACATTCAAATTAACTCTGTTGGGCAGAGGATACAAAGAGGAAAATGAGACTATTAATTTATTCCGAGAGCATAAGGTCATCATCTGTCAATGCAGTTGTACCCCTAACTCTACACAGATGACGATATCAAATCTGTGACATTGTGAAGAAAAACAGTGAATGCAAATGTCCTTTGTTTCACTTTCATCACCAAAGTGTTCAATGAGTTCAGGACACTATAATCATGTGCTTACCTAATGTATTACTTCTGCATCACACACACACACACATGTCTGGTCAGCTATCCTTGTGGGGACTCTCCATAGGCGTAATGGTTTTTCTACTGTACAGACCGTATATTCTATTGCCCTACACCAACCCTACCCCTAAACCTACCCCTCACAGGAAACTTTCTGCATTTTTAGATTTTCAAAAAACTTCATT